GGGAGGCTGAAAATTGCTGAGTTCCAGCCTGGGCTACATAGTGAATTCAAGGCCAGCCTGGACTATGTAGCAAGATCCTGTCTCAAAAAAAAAAAAACAAAACGAAGCTGGGCATGGTAGCTCATGCCTGTAATCCCAGCACTCGGGAGGCTGAGGTAGGAGGATCCGTGTAAATTCCAGACCAGCCTGGACTACAAAGTGAGCTCAAGGCCAGCCTGAAACTGCATAGTGGGACCACGTCTCAAGGGGGAGGGGGGGCATAAGTCTCAAAAAAACAAAAGGCCTCCTAGTTGTCCAACAGTACTATGATTCAAATGTTCCCATGAAAACTCATTGAAATTTAATCTCATTGGTGTGGTACCATATGCCTGTTATCTCAGCACTTTGGGAGGCTGAGGCAGGAGGATGAGACCTTGAGACAAGCCTGGGCTACACAATGAGTTCAAGGCCAGCCTGGACTAACAGTAAAACCCTTTTCCCCGTCCAAAATATACATACACTTCTGCCCTTCTCTTTTTAAATCCTTTAATGAAATACTTACTGCTATATGGTACTTTTACTTTCTTCTTTATTCTTATTTTTATTTTCAGGAATATTCAAATGATTTCAAAAGCTAGGGGTATAACTCAGCGGTTGTCCAGCACACACAAGGGCCTGGGTTCTATTCTCGCACAGTTTAAGATCTCACCAAGAACATAATATTCAAACCAGACTCCACTTAATATTTCCTTTTCAATAACAAACTCACCCTTGTATTGGATATTTTAAACACAGTATATGCAATCATCAAGCACCAGAATTTCAAGAAACATTATTCAGTGAAAATATTTCAAATACCTTCTCTCTGTAAGTATGTCCAATTCTGCACATCCTTTTTCAAGTCACGGCTGTACATGGGCATAGTTAATGAAAGAAAAAAAATCACGGCACAGGCATCTGATTTCTGAAGGTTTTTACTTTCTAACAGGTAATTTTCTAAGATGCTCCTAGTTATCCAGTTTAATAGCCACAGAAAAGATGGCAAGCGTTCACAGAAGGTTGGTAACCTTTCCCCAACTCCACATGGCAAGACCTGCATTTGGCCACCTCTGTTCAGGCATGGTCCTAGGTTACACATTTATAAACTAGGAAAAGCCCACAAATTTCCAAACAAGCAAGGTAAGCACGGGCCTTGTGCCAAAGAAGGCTTCCCGGGGTGTCTGCATACCTTCCTAGAATCAGCCAATACTTCCCAGCCACTCCAGCACCCACAGTACACTGAAAAAAAACCCTCTTTTCCTAGGCCCTGTGCTGTAACTGCCTCTCCTGCCATGGTCCACAAAGGTCAGCTCCACCTCCATCAGCCTGGAGTTTGACACTGAAAAGCTTTAAAAATGTTTGCCCAGCATAGCACTGGCTACATGAATGAAAGAACAAACAAGTGCAAAGCTGTTGCATTCTCCCCAATAAGAAATGCTAATTAAAGCCAGGGGTGGCAGCTCATGCCTGTAATCCCAGTACTCAGGAGACTGAGGCAGGAGGATCACTGGGAGTTCAAGACCAGCCTGGGCTACAAAGTGAGCTCAAGGCCAGCCTGAACTGTATAGTGCAAGACCCCATCTCAAAAAAGACAAAAAAAAAAAATGTTAAAGTAAATTTTTAAAAAGTCTCAAATACATCAACAGTACATCAATCACAAAAGGGTCTGGAATTCAGTCTCGTGCTGTCATTCCAGACCTCGATTCATAGGCCTTCTGTTGCAGGCAGCTGAGTTAGTTAGAAATACAGGCAGTCAGACAGGGCTGGGTCCTTGATGGAGCCAATGCAGAAGACCAGAATACCTTGCAACTGTGGGAGAGATAAGACACCTCCTGCTGTGGGCCAGGCCTCAAGACAAAAGATCAAACAAATGCATCCATGTCCTGAGGACTGATATTCTAAATAGTTCCCTATCACCCTGAGGAAGTCTGATCACCATTCCAACCCCCTAAGGAGTCACGGCTCTCTAAAAATGCCCACTTTCTAGGTGACTTGCTTCCCCATTTGTCCCCAATTTAATCAATTTTACCTGAACTATTATTCTTACTGGCTAACTATAGCTATGTCCCATCTTATGCCCATCTGCCTTGTGAGTTCCCAGTTTTCCCCACCTTAAACCCATCTCACCCCATGAGTTTACACTATAAAAGTCCCTGGAAAAGACAGTTCTTGGCAACCTGCTTGAGACCCCTTCTGTCTCTCAGAAGCTTTCTCTCAATAAATATATTCTACTCTCACCTCCATAGTTTCTAAAATCCATTCTTTGATTTTAGAGAACACGAACTGGTGGACATAGTAGGTTGGGAGTTTCATTCCCCTATATCACTTCTACCATAATAACGCATGAAGTAAAAACCTCCAAGATACCAACACACAATGCAAAAAAAAAAAAAAAACATACAAAACACCGGCTTTAAAATCAACTGTCCCCAGACTCAATGACAGAAATCATGCGTGCTTCTCCAGTACCCAGCATGAGCTCCACTTCTATCACATGTTCACCAAATGTCCCTTCAGGATGAAAGCGATCTACATGGACACTCTGTGTGCAATAGGGACAGCATCTCAGAACAGCCAAGAGAACTCTGAGACAACAATCTTGTCATCCACAGACTGTTGCCATCCACTTCCCATTCATTCTCACCGTCCCCACTTCACAGAATTGAGGGGGACAGGGGTTATACCATTTGCCAGATCCACAGACAGGATCTGAATCTCCTTCACTGCACATCTCTAAGTCCTCACACTGAAACCCCAGCTTGAAAAGCCGATCAGTCCCTGGAGACAGCCACACCTTGGTGCCACACTCTTTCTCTTGTCCTTGGATGTGCTGGGCTCTGCGGCTCCATGGCCAGGTGAGTCAGAGGCTGAGTAGGAAGTGGGCACTGACATACAGGGGAGTAAAAGAAGTGGCCAAGGAAGGAGTGGAGGGTGCAGGAGTGCAGGGGTACAGAGCCCTTTCTCACACGGGAGGGTGTTCCTCCACTGAACCCAAGGGCAGAAGTGGCAGAGGACCTGGAAATGGCCTAGGGACAGTCACTCTGGGAGAAACACTTCCTGAAAACTCCTCTTGGGGCACGGGGACCTGAGCAAGATAGTCCCTGTGTGCCAGACCCGGGGACCACTACCTAAGGACCACATGCTTGGCGGCCATCTACACCCTCTGTCTGCGAACACTAGTTCCAACAGCTTTAGATTGGCCTAAGGTAATCTGGGCTGAAGACACACAGGAGGAACCGGGCAGGACCTCACCGTTCCCTCATACAGGCTGCAAAACCCGGAGACCAAGCTCCAGGCACACAGGTGCAGATACACAGAGGCCCAGGCTGAGCGTGCCACTTAAATCCCGGGGGAACGAATAAAATGGAGCCTCAGTTCCTGCCTTTGCCCCAGGGGCTGCTGGCAGAGTGGCTTTGACACACGTCCGTTCTCGCAGCGTTAACCCCAGCTGCCCCAAACTTCTTATGTGGAACAGGAAGACGACTCCGAAACCGAATCGAGCCGACCCGGAACCCGACTGAGAAAAACAATGGACCCGCAGCCTCGGCACCCTACGCGGGTGGGTAGAGGGCTTGGGGGCCTCTGTGCCTCCGGAAAGCGGACAAGAAATGCCCAATGCCAAATCTGAACAAAACTGGGCTTCAGCGACAAACGTGTCCCACCAGGCGGTGGCTTCCCGCTCACACTGACTTGGAGACTCATTCTCCCTCCCCAGTAAAGAGCCTTCCAGCTGACACCGGCCGTCCCACCCCCTCCTCGCAATCAGGCGGGAGACGAAATGACATCATGCAGCGCTTGGCCCGGGTCTCAGGGGACCCGCCCGCCGCTCTCCGCGGCCCAGCAGGCACCGGGAGCCCAGCGAGGGGTCCCTAGAGCCGGGTTTTGCGCGCGCCCCAGCGACGGGCGGCCGGCGAAGAACATTTCCCGCGAGAACCCCCGCCCCGACTGGCGCTCGGAGGGGCCCGGAGGAGGCAGATGTAAAGGGGGCCCCCGCCGCCCGCCGCCCGCTCACCCGCGCGTCCGCCGAGACATCCCCCGGCCCGGGCCGCGCCGAGCCCGCCAGACCGCCGGCCGAGCCCGGAGCGGGAGCCGGGCCGGGGTCAGGACACGGACTGCTCTGGCCGCTCCGGGCCCCGCACCGCGCTCCCGGGCCTCAGCGCGTCCGCAGGTCCCGCCGCCCGCCTGCAGGAACCACGGCTGCCGCCGGCGCGCACAGATGCACTTTCCTATCTCCCGCCAAGCGCGTCGGCGCCGCCTAGGCCTGGCGGGCTAGCGCGGGGCGGGGCGGGGCCTGCGGTGGGCGGGGCCTGCAGAAGGGAGGGGTGGTGCCTGCGGCGAGAGCAGAACCCGGCGAGGCTGCACGGCTCCGCCCGCGCTTTAGGAGTCTCGTCTGTTCTGGCTGCGGAGAGACTGATCCAGATTCAGGACAGATGCGGCTCCCAGGAGACCCAGGTGTAACTGACACAGCATAGACAAAGAAGGAATCTGGCGCGAGGATGGGAGACCCAGGCGTAAGAAGCCACCTGGGCGAAAGCGCAGCTTCAGTCCAACCTCCTCCTCTGATCCCTTCAGCCTTACCCTAAAAGTACCGGGCACCCTTACCTAGAACTGCTCATTCCAAAACCTTCTCCTTGCTTCTCTCCAACCTCACGGCAGCCCTCCTAAAATGCAAACCCGACCTCTGTAGAATTGAAACCTCTTTCCTTTCCCATAGGGTAAATTCCTTAATAATCAGGTCTATAGTATCAGATCAGAGATAAGAGAAAGTGTTTGCCTGGGCCATTATCTGCATTATCTGGACCAGCCCTTCCCACCAGGCTAATTCTTACTCATCCTTAGGGTCCTCTACCCAACTCTTTAGTTTGTTTTTGTCGTGTTTTTTGTGTGTTTTGTAGTACTGGTAATTGAACCCAGGGCCTCCTTATTTATGTTAGGTAAGTGCTTTACCACTGAGCTACATATACCCAGCCCCCCCCCTTTTTTTAACACTGTCACACACATGCCCACTTTCTTCTTGGATAAGAAAGAGGTATTTAACTGTGTAACACTTCCTTTCCCACAGTGGAATGTCACAGCTGCTATGATTGACAGCAGCTGCAGACCAGTAGCTGTGGACTACCCAGCCCCTTTTTCCTTTTCCTTTTTTTTTTTTTTTTTTTTTTTTTTTTTAATTTAATGAGTATGGTTAAAGGGGCTGGGGATTTAGCTCAGAGGTATAAGCACCTGCCTTGCAAGCAGGCGGTCGTGAGTTCAATCCCTGATACCGATAAAAAGTTAAAAAAAAAAAAGTTCTTTGTTAAAAAATCAATAAATAAAGAGTATGGTTAAATTTCCTGGGTGGATCTGAAATTTCCTGTGTGGATCTGGCTCCTGTCTTAGCCTCTCCAGCAGCTAAGATTATAAAGTAGCATAAAGCATTTGAGCATTTTAGGGCCCAAGAAACCTCTTAAAATTCACCCCAGTAGACAGCACAAGACCTCAGGTAAAAGTTTTGTTGATTTAAATTCAGTTTAGTACGGATCTAAACTCCTTGGTTTAGGAAGGGTTTTTCATAAGTTGGAGATCAGCCTAGGCTATGCACCAAGACACTGTCTTTAAAGAGAGAGAGGGTGGGGACGTGGCTCAGTGGCAGAGCTCTTTCCTTGCATGGGTAAGGCCCTGGGTTTGATCCCCAACACCACAAAAATAAATAAACAGAAAGGGAAAAGGGGAAATTTGTCAAAAATCCTAAATGTGTTTGTTTGGTATTTTGCTATGTATCAGTCACTGTTCTGTGTATAAATTTTAATTCATTTCCTTCTCATAACAATTCTGTGAATATGCTGGTATTATCCTTTTTTAGGGAAAACTAAGGCAAAGTTTTTCCTACCTATGCTAATTCCAGTCTTCTGAAAGGAAAAAAAAAATTGTTTCTTACCACCCTTCTAGCTTCTTTGAGCTACAAATGGGGAGATGACTATTATAATTTAAATTAACATAAAACAGTTGGGCATAGTGGCACATACCTGTAATCCTAGCACTTGGCAGGTTGAAGCAGGAGGATCTCCATGAGTTTGGGGCCAGCATGGGCTACATAGTGAGTTCAAGGACATTCTCAATTGCATTGTGAGAGACCCTATCTCAAAAACAACAAAATTAAACAAACAAAATCAGGTTGATAGGAAAAAAGTCATATTAAACTACTTACATATCTTCAGGAGTCCCACAAAACAAGATGTCATACAAAGGAGCAAATGAGTGAAGCTTCCTGAGTTACACAAAGTGAGAAAGACCAGGCCTAGTGGTGCAAGTCTGTAATCCCAGCACTCTGGGAGCCTGCAATAGGAGGATCACAGATGTAAACTGAGCCTGGGTGACTTAGTGTCAATGAGACACTGTCTCAGAATGAAAACTAAAAGTCAGGGCGATGGGTTAGTGTGAAGGCCACGGGTTCAAACAAGAGAAAAAGAACAAAGGGCCTGAGTTTCTGGAGCGGGCATGGTGACACAAATTACTGCAGGGCACAGGAAGGATCTGTATAGTGAATAAAAGTCTTGGAATGCAGATAGTCTCTCAGGTAATAAAAGTTATCTGGAGCTGTGCTCTTCCAAATACAGACTTTTGGGGCTGAGGATTTAGTTCAGGGGTGTAAGTGCCTGCCTGGCAAGCATGAGGTTGTGAGTTCGATCCTTGGAACAGAAAAAAAAAAAAAACACAGACTTTTTTACTATGGTAGATTTCCTTCATAAATGTAAGTTCCTTCTTAACCTGAGTATGGTGAGGCAGTCCTATAAACTGAGCATTCTGGGAAACTGAGCCCAGATGGTGAAGCCCAGATGGTGAATATTATTGTCATGAGCCCAGCCCGGGCTCAATATCAATTCAGCTATTTAAATGAACAAATAACAAAAGTTCTGGGATGTAGCTCAGTGTGAAGGCTCTGGCTTCAATCCCCAGAACAGATAAATAGGATGGTTTTAAGATTATTTATCAGATTCACAAGAGTTCAGAGTCATTCTCTTTTTGTTTGTTTGTTTTTTGAAGCAGGGTCTTGTTATGTAACACAGCCTGGCCTTGAACCCACTATATTCATAAGAAGGTGTATAGTTAAGTGAGAAGAGCCTGGATTCAGCTTCCAGTATGGAGTGAGAGGGCTGGGGCCTGGAGCTAGCTCAGTGGTAGGCAACCCCTGGGTTTGGTCCCCAGTACCAGGGGGAGAAAAACCCAAGAAGTACAGAATATATTTAGGAATGCTACATTCTGGCCTCTGTAGCCATATTTTAAGGGAATATGCCATGAACCCTAACATTATGCTCTTCATCTCTATAATGGAGGGTAGTTATAAGATTAAACATATATAAAGCACAGAAAGCTGAGCATGGTGACACATGTTTGCAATCCCAGCACTCAGGAGGCAGAGGCAGGAGGAGCACTGGGAGTTTGAGGCCAGCCTGGGCTACCTAGCAAGACCCTGGCTCAAAAATTTTTTTAAATAAAATAAGTTACTATATATAAAGTACTGATAGAATATTACATGACACATAAGAACTGCATTGTTGTTTCCTTGTTTTCATTGGTGGTTTTGTTTTTTTAGGTGCTAGGACTCATTAGGACCTCCCACATGCTAAGCATAGACTCTACCACTGAGCTACACTCAGCCCATATTATCAGCTATTATTATTATTACTTTGAAAAAGTTTTTACATACTGGGAATTGAACCCAAGGCCTTCACACTGAGCTACATTCCCATGTTTTGAGATGGGCCAGGCATAGTAGCGTATGCTGTAATTTCAGCACTCAGGAAGCTGAGGCAAGAGGATCACTGTAAATCCAAGACCAGCCTGGACTACATAGTGAGCTCAAGGCCAGCTTGAACTATATAGAGAGACTTGGTCTGAAAACTACAGCAGCAAAACAAAAATGGAGACAGGACTTGTTAAAGTATTTGTGTTGGGGATGTAAATAAACTGATAAATAGCTCAGGCTGGACTCCAACTTGTGATCCTTCTGCCTCAGCCTCCCAGATAACAGGGATAACAGGCATGTACCACCTTGCCTGGCTTGTTATTATTGTCATGTTATTATTGATTATTCAGACTCTGCAGCTGCCTGTCACTTACCCTTTGAGGTTCAGAAAGCTGCTTTACACAGAACACAGATTCTCTTTTTTTTTTGAGATGGGGTCTCCCTATGCAGTTCAGGCTGGCCTTGAGCTCACTTTGTAGCCCAGGCTGGTCTCGAACTCGCAACGATCCTCCCACCTCAACCTCTGGAGTGCTGGGATCACAGACGTGAGCCACCATGCCCGGCTAACATTCTTAATGGATTATTAGTCCCATTTCTGGGCAAGGCAGGACCCGGCTGTCAGAGCGAGATATTTGTCCAAGGCAATAGGCAGGAAGCAGGTTCAGAGTTCACCTGGAATCTAGCACGGAAACCAGTTGATCGATAATCTATAACCAGAGGAATCAGGAGTTAGTGTCATGTGTCAGGTAGCAAGGAGGTCACACTGAAGCTGGATGCAAGCTGGTGACATTCACAAATCGGTCCTCTCCAGTTATTGTCCTATCACTATCTCCTGAGGTTAAAATTTCTAACATCTTGGGTGCTGCCATATGCATTAATGCTGGGGAGCCTCTCTTTGCTTATTCTGTCTCTGCCTTGCCCACGGTTCCGACTCAGGCCTCTCCATGTTGGAAAAACAAGGATCAAATCGATTAAGTGCTCAAGGCCCACATCAAACTAGATGCAAAACAAATACTAGCTTATGATGAGTGATCTCTTGCCTTTTTTTAAACTGTTGGCAATTGAACCTAGGGCCTTTGCACTACTACATCCCAGCCCTTTTTTAAATTTTGAAAGGAGGTCTTTCTAGTTCCCAGACTGGGCTCAAACTTGCCATCCTCCTTGCCTCAGCTTCCAGGGTGCTGGGATTCTTGGAATATGCTACCTGCTGGGTCACCTGCCTTTCACCCACTTATGGGACAAACTCAACTTTTTATTTGTATGCAGTGCTGGGGATCAAACTCTGGGCCAGCTCAACAGGCATGAGCTCTGCCACTAAGCTGCACCCCAAACCACATTTTAAAGACAAGAAAAGTGGGATACACAAGGATGCATCCTAGCTTAACAGTGTAATGCTGCTTTTCTCCATGAGCAGCCAGAAGTAAAACGTATGCGTAAAAGCTAAAATGCCTTAACATTATGCTACATTTTATTAAAAATCTATTACTCTGAATAGTCTGTAATTAAGCCTAATGAGACAACTAGGGGGTCCACGTACATGTCTATGAGCAGATATAGTTTGCTTGTTTGTGGCATGTTGCTTTTGAAAAAATAAGTAGTGGACACATTTAGATAACATTTATAAAGAGTTGATTTTGGTCATTCAGAAAAAAAATTAAGTTGCCCTGCTCACTTGGCAAATGGATTGATAGACTAAAGCAAAGTGCTCACATTTTGAATGTAAATTGTGTTAAGTTCTGTGTATACAAATAGGCTGAAAAGATTGGGGTGAAGCCAGAGCAGTACATCCATTGTTATGGATTAAAAACTGGTGGTCAACTTAACGCCAGCAGAATTAAATCACCATGTTGCTGAGCATAGATGTTTCACCTGAGGAAAGTTGCCAGCATAAATAGAGACAAGGAGAAGGGAGGTACTTTGAAGTGCTGAGGCACTGAGGCATCATGGCTTCTCCTATGTGTTGCTGTTTGAGCAATTGGTTCTCCTGGACAAGCTCTGGTCCTCACATCAAGCATTCTTTCCTGGCTCTGGAGGGGAAGATGTGTGCTGTTTGGTCTCCAGGATGAACTTGTCACGCTGGCTTCCTGGTATGTACTCGACTGTGCTTGTTGTCGGAGGAGCTCGGGACCTCTGTGTCACTGAGGATGGCTGTGGTGCTTTTCAGGACAGCCCTGGTCTTTGTTGTGAGTGTGACTTCTCGGCTCCAGCGTAGAACCCTCGTCCCACCAGCACAGCTTCTTCACGCTGCTGGCATAGACTTCCTAGCTTCCACCGCTGACCTCTGGGCCTTCCCAGCACGGATCCATAAAAGAGACTGGCATTAGTCTTTCTTGTGGGCTCTAACCACTTGGACTCGTGGGAGGCATTTTCATGAGCTCTGGGTCTTTGTC